GTTTACCTCATGCTGCCGCGGTATTACATTTTTTTTTAAATTATATACAGTAAAAACATCCTTTTTGCCCCATGATAGCGTCGAAATGAAAGTCAAGTAAACTCCTTTATATCCTGTTTGCTTTGAAAGGCGAATATTCTAGAAAAAATATCTCATGAACCAGAGTGGTTCTGACAACTGGAGCATTTGCATGCGGAAATTACAAAATAAAAAAATTGCTGAAATTTCAAAAAAATACGAAAAAGATTGAAAAGTTAGTGAAGTTTTCTTCCGCTCAAGATGCGGAAATTAAAAAACATTAAAATTTTTAAATAAAAAAGAAGAATCTCGACTTTTTTGTCGTGGAAAGAATGCTTGTTTTTGCCGAGCTGTTGCTAGATACAATAACAATTCCAGATAGCACTTGCTTCAAATGAAGAAGTGGCCCAGCAAGTGTTTATTACTGCAGCAGTCTATACAGCGCTGATTATCATCAAAACAATGTTCGAGGCTGTTGGGGTAATTTTTGTAGTGTTTTCTCCCAAAAATAAAACCACAGATTTAAGGCGCTATTGTTGAGTTTCATCTTGAATTCAGCAGATCTCAAAAAAAGACGATGATGGAAAAATCCATGTGTACGTATGTATGTGCGTTTGTGTTTTTGCTTGAAAGTGCGTGTATATGTATGCTTTTATCGATTGAGTTTTTCCTGGTGTAAAAACACGGAGGGCAGAAATGTCATTTTAAGAGACTATAAATCTTAAATCGTTATGCGGAAGGCCGAGGGTTCGTCACTCCATCTACAATTCGTTCATTCGTTTTGATGGTAAATTTATACTGACGCATGCCAGGAATTCAAAAGTGCTATCAGCTTGATTGTACAAAACCTTCAAACTAGAAACTATTGTAAGCCTTGTCAGCGAATGGTTGCTCTTGGCGTTTATTACCCTCGGAATATATTCGTATGCCTCTGCCTCCTATGCTGGAAGGATTTGGAATTTTTTGACTTTTACAAAAATGAGCGCTTTACCTTATTTTGTGTCTTAATATCTGGCTTCGATTCTGCCTGTCTTTCGACACGTTGTTTTTCATGTATTTCGAGATTTTCATTTTTCAGGAAAATGAAAACTTTTTTTCTTCTAAAGAATAGGCAAAGTTTTTACCGAAAAGTTACTTTAGACCATAATTTTGCTACTTTGCAGCGTCTATTTATTGCACTGTACGGACATGGCTTTTGTGGTTACATGCGCAGCGAAATGTTTCGTCGGGTACTGAGACATGGCGCAGCTTACTTTGATGAAGAAGCCAATACACCAGGACGCCTGGCCCATAAACTGATTTCCGATACTACTACTCTAAACAGGGTAAGTTTACTTATTGAAATAAACAATTCTAAATGCAAACCTGCGCACAGTTTTAAGCCAGGGACACAAATTATTGCTACAGGCGGACACATTACCCCTTTGATCGTCCATCACTTATTTGCTGAACTCCAGTGAAGTGCTTTAACATCTCTTTGCGTACGAATTCCTCTTTTGCAAGCAAT